ATGAATTCTCCAGTCAACTTGGGAGTTCTACCAGTGAAGGTCAATGTGAATCTGACCTCACCATTTAACCCGGCCAGTGCGATTGGACAAAAGATTGTGGAAAGCAGCGCTCACGATGATCATCCTATGGACGGAGGCATAGGGAAACCGAAGAACAGCACTCTACCCATGGGTCGAGGTCCTGCAGGCTTTGCTTCCGTTGCACCGTTCTGATTTCCACCTTATCTAAAGCAAGGAAACATCACCTCTACCCAACGCGCAAACGCCTTGTCGTATGGACATTCTGAATAACTTCGGATAACTATGTGGGCACACATTCCATCAGCCATTCCCGGTGTAAAGGAAATAAATCATCAGTCACCGAACGTAGTGGATTAAGTTCAAGAGTCACAGAGAAAATCATAATTGTTTTCTCTGGTCGTAATGAAATATCGAGAATTAACTGACAAGGTTCGATGGAGTTGCCCCGCTGATACAGCATGTAAAGTTCACAAATTAAATTTTTGTCTCCATGCAGCATTCTGTTAAACTCAAAGTCTTCTTTACCTGCCAAAGTAGATAAGGTCACGTGGCAAGACATCGGTGACAAGCGTCGTTCGAACACAGTGGGTATCAGATGACTTATGTACTGTTTGTCGTTATATTCCAGTAACTGGTGTCAAAGTATCAAACTCGATGAGGATCAAAGATCGGACTTTACCTCGTGAATGCACGGTGGGTAACACAGCGCCCGGATTGTATGGAGCGAGGAGGATAGAAATGTGATAATTTGCGGTCAGGATATTGAGCGACAATTGTTTGCATCACGTAACACTGGCAGTTGGGCGACCCAACAGGAACAACATTGTTAAAGCAAGTAGCAAAGCGGATTGGTGAATTTAAGTTGCTCCATCTAACCATAAATCCCCAAAGTCAAATTAGCTGCTATGTTAGGGCTGTCATTATCACCCCATCCTCTTAAAGAGCCGATCGGCATCCCGGCAAAATCATCACGGTATAAGCGTCATCCGTAGAGTCTACAAACTTCTCACATAAGTTATCCATTGGCGGATCCTCGTAAAAGTCGATTCAGCGGCGGTCAGAATAGCTTCCGTCCCGCCAAAAATTGCGCCGACTACAATCTTGGTCCATGACAGACGCTTGAGCTGCGTCTTACATCGTTCTAGGTTGATCACAGCACCTTTCCCAAAAGGATCCTAAGTATTGACCAGTCTTGGCTTAAAAGACAGCCCAATCGTTGAGCAATATTATATCGAAGACAAATGCGAAGACGTACAAGTAGGGTCTGAGGAAGAAACCCGAACAAGGGTTGTTTTTGGGTTTAAAGCTGACAGATTGTCTGGCGCAGGCATAAATAGTGTGGATAGTACAAACGAGCAACCGTTAGTTGATCAAAACGACCGATGGAGAGCGCACACTGCAAAAAATAAAAAGCAGATCGATGAGCAGCAACTACGAAGATTATATATATCCCTACCCGAGATCGCTTTCTAGATCGCGTGATTATTAGTATAAAAGAAGTGCGTTGTTAAAAATCTTTAAAATAGCAAGAATCAACAACGTTTGGGTGGGATAACCTGGGTTCAGATTATGCCGTATCTTCTCACTCAACCGCGTACAGACAAACAATTTAACGAATAAGGGAATGCAAATGAAGTGAGATCAATAGGACACCGAGAAAATCAAGGTTTTAATCTGTAATATTGCGAAACACGCCTAACCAGGGAAGGGAGAGACTGGCCATAAGGTCGAGTCGCTTGCAGAGGTTTGACTTCGGTCACCGGAAGGTGGAATCCCCAGCAAACCGAAGCAAGCTCAAAGTATTCTGCCTGTTAATAACCTTGAATGCGTTAGGAAAGTTTTAGCACAAGGCGCAATCAAGCAGACGCTGGGTAATTGAGCTGGCAAGAAGCTCAGGGCCACTCGTTGCCAAGTTCCGTGGTTCACGTTCTATGATTCTAGTTGATAGCCTTCTTTCGGCTCCGCCAATGTATATGCTACCACAGGTAAATTAGTTAACACATATGGCGGTAACCTGAGAGCTAAGCCTATCCACATTGAACTCATGGAGCAGTTGCCCGGTCTGAAGCGACAGTACGAGCTCAGCTGTGCAGTAGCACTTCTTTATGGCATGACGTAATCGGTAGCAGAATCTTCTGTTCTCCTTTGTATGGTAGCGTAATGTAGACCATTTGCTTGGGGAGATCCGTTCACTTCTGTCTATTTTTCCCCATATCTGGCGGTAAAGTTATTGGGATAGTCATTAGCACGTAGATTAGATGTGATACATTGTACTTCTGTCTGAATTGACTCTTCCGAGCATATTCAGTGAACTCGTAGGAAACAAGTGCGAACTAGGGATCGTTTGTAGTTCAGAGGACAGTAACTGTCAAAATATAGGTACAGTCCAGTGCAGCTCGGTTTACAGTAATTTGATCTCATTAGCGAACCACCTGTTCTTCGCTTCAACGCAACGTCAAGGAAATGAAACGAATTCCGTGGCTCACTTTTCAGTGAATTTGATTTCGAGATGGCTGCTGGTTATTTTTTCCAGTTGGATTTTCCCTTGCTGGGCCGTGTCAGCTACTACAAGTGACTCCAATGTATCTTGCTTAAAAGTTTGTCGCTCCAATGGCACGGCGTAATGTTCTATTTTCCACATGACCCATAAAGATGTCAACTAAAATCGGTCCGAATTGGCTACCTATCTCTACTTCCTCAAGTTGACCATAGATATTTCCATCAAAACAAAATTGGACATCTTAAGTACAAATGCTGAGTAAGGTCTTTACTCGGTTGCTGGTAGGCCTACTTTGTCTGCATGCGCATCTATGGTGTATAAGATCTCCTCCAAACGAACATCGGTGAAGAGGGAGTAGACATCGAAAGATACCATGGGCTTACCTTGCACCTTCAGGTTCCGAACTTTGTCAACATAGACAATTGTCTTTTCGACTATACACAGTTAACTCAGGACGAATAGGCTCGAGTCATTTGGCCAACCATCGTGGTAGTTTCTGGTACGGCTCCGCAACCATTTGAAGCACTAGACTCTGTGTACCCCTCTTTGTGTATTTTCGGTAATCCATACATTCGAAGTCGTGGGCCCCGAGAGCGGATTTCCGCCGTGATTATGGCATCAATTAGTACCTCCGTGTGTAGCGTTCGCAGCTCACGAACTATCAACTCTTCTGTTCTATCTTGCCCTATCAGATCCCTAATGAATCATCTCTCCTCTGTGAGCACTGATTGCATTTTTCGAATGTAGTCCTTTTTACTCATTTGGATAACACAAGAGCTCGTGTCAGACGTCAGTATTACGACGTAACTGTAACAAGGAATCAAAGAGTTATTTCGTGGGAATCCTCGGTTTCTCAGTCTCTGTAATGCGAAATTGGTTAGCCAGGTCCAGTGCGTAGGCCTGAAACCCATTACTCGCGTCTTCCGTTGATGTAGTCAAACTAGAAAGTTGCTCCAGTAAGTGCTTGAATTCCTATACGGCCACATCTGTCATGTGACACAGAGAAGTAACCAAGCGATAGTGCCTCAATTTGGAGGCGATTGAGCGGTAGGCTGGACAAGTTCACCGTATAGTTCTGTGGGTCCGATGTGGAATGTTATCAGTTAAACGTTCAGAAGATAGAGAGTTAAAGATTTGCTGTCTAGTTAACAATATCGTTTTGACTTTCAGCTCTCGCAGGGAATCGTACACTTTCGTGCGACACAGGTTTCAAACGGTCTAATAGGAGGCTCCACGCAACCCAAACTGGCTTTCAACTGAGTGCTATGATAAACAGAAGCCTCAACCTGAAGCTTAGTGTAGTGTGTAAAATTTCGTGGGTTCACGTGCAAATTGTTACTGCTCAGGGATTTTACGAACCGACGCAGGTACGTACACATGTTCAAGCATTCCTTATAGGCATCAGTACGCGCGGCTTCTTGCGAAGTAGAACAACCCAAAGACACTAGGTTATCCAGTGAACGAAATGTGTACTTGTGGTAGCATATACATTGGCCGAGCCGAAAGAAGGCTATCAACTAGAATCATGGAACATGTTCCACCGAACTTGGCAACGAGTGGCCCTGAGCTTCTTGCCAGCTCAATTACCCAGCGTCTGCTTGATTGCGCCTTGTGCTAAAACTTTCCTAACGCATTCAAGGTTATTAACAGGCAGAATACTTTGAGCTTGCTTCGGTTTGTTGGGGATTCCGCCTTCCGGTGACCGAAGTCAGACCTCTGCAAGCGACTCGACCTTATGGCCAGTCTCTCCCTTCCCTGGTTAGGCGTGTTTCGCAATATTACAGATTAAAACCTTGATTTTCTCGGTGTCCTATTGATCTCACTTCATTTGCATTCCCTTATTCGTTAAATTGTTTGTCTGTACGCGGTTGAGTGAGAAGATACGGCATAATTTGAATCCAGGTTATTCCACCCAAACGTTGTTGGTTCTTGCAATCTTAGATGTTTTGAAGGGAAATGGCTGCATGAAAAGTTTCTTTACTCGCTCAGGACCTAAGTAAGCGTCCAAAGTACGACATAGAATACAAAACTGGACATTCTAGATTTCTTCGATTCCCTTGACTCTCACTAGCCCAATCTACAATGTGCTGAGACGCAAGAAACGAGGTGTTCTCACGAGAAAACACGGTAATCGTTCGGAATGGTTAGCAGCAATTCGGTGACAGTAAGGGTATATGAAGAGAATTACTAATGACGACAGACAACTTGTCATGTGTGGTAAGATCCAGGGCAAATGGGTAGGAAGAATGTACTTTGGCTCTCTACCCGTTGGGTACATGATCAGGGGAAGTTCATTATGGCTGAAGCAGCATCAGTAAAATAACCAACCGCGAAAAGTAAGGAAAACTAAGTCGTAGTGAAGATATGAGCGCCAATATATGGAAGAAGAGTACTGGTAATTACTTCAGATGAACGTTTTATTAAACAGTGATGATAAGATGAATTTGTGTACACGATGAGAATGGATTGGACCGGAGAATCAGGGAGCATCCAAATCCACATATGGGCGACGTGGGAATCCTCGTCTACGAAGTAACAAATGAAGAAAGTGAATGATTACTTCGAGAGAAAGCCGAAGCACAAATGTGTATATACGATAGATAGCATATAAGGGAAACAGAAATCAGCGTTACAACGGCTCAGTGGCCGAAAGAGGCGGTATCGTACAGTTTGGGAGGGCGGCGTATAGGTATAGCTGTGCATTTCATTTGCAATAATAATAACAAATAGTAATGTGTATTCTTGGGTTCACGAGACGCTCTTTTCGGCAAGATCAGTATTTTCGCATTTGGTGCACAGGTTATCGACAGGATAGTCTAAACGTTAGGCAGAAATGTAAAACATCTTTTTATCAATGATGGTGTTCTACAGCTCAAATGTACAGAGAATATTTCATAGCGTCCTGACAGAGTTCCGTGTTATCAGGGAAGTAAAAATTCATTAGGGTAAGGGATGAAGAGTAGCTGTGCGATGATGTAAGGAACATTAAAACTCAACTTCAACAATGCAGAATATGGCATGTAATTTAGGTATAAAGAAGTTCATATGCATTGTGGCGTTTTAAAATGAGGTACGAAATAAGAAGGCATTGTATAGTTGTAGGCATTGTATAGTTGTATTTAAATGCGGAGGCAACCGGAAGGGAAGACTGGTTAGCTATGTGTGCGGAGGAGGTGATTGGTATTATCTATCTGGCTCAGGCATTTTAGTTTACCTACAGACCAAGAGTACGGGAGTAAAAGAAAATGGGGAAAGGATATGGGAAATAGGGAGAAAGATGTAGTAGTGACGCAGCATAGTCGGATTAAGATGGAACAGTCTTGGTAGATCATCCTGTGTGTTTTAAACATTTCAAGAGTTCGATGCTACAAATCAGCTAACTCATGTGCTGAGTGTAAAATAAGGCGGCAATGGAACAGAACTGTAGTCAGAGAAAACCTGCAAGGTGGAGACAGATATCAATTATATCTACTGCTGGGTTCTATGGATGACAGGTTGGAAGAGCACAGGATGACGTGCGCTAGTAGGTGGACGTAGCCGTATAAAACCAAAAAACGCACTGCGATGCACACCATGCGGCAATATAACGAATACATCCACAAAAGTAGTTTTAGACACCTTGATGCAGCCCCTTACGTGAAATGTGAGATCAACTTACACTGTCAAGCTCATCGAACCCATTGTTATCGGTCGACAGCACCGACCAGTCTTTACTCAAAACAGCTGACATTAAAAATAAATCTACCGTGTCAGCCAAGATTGTTCTATATCTACTTTCCTCTACAACTTCGCAATCGAAATGATCATGAATGACGCCGTCCTTTCAGACTCTCCGGAGTGGAAGTTCGGTCAGGTGACTGGCTGACAAACCTCGAGTATGCGGAAGACATAGCTCTTCTTGTGTCCGACGCAGTGGATATGCTAATATTGCTGGATAGACTGACGTATAGCGTTACACACCAATAGATTTGCTTTGTACCTACAAAGTGCAAAGTACTGTTGCACGATGAGAGCGATATGCCACCGGTTTTAGCTAGCAACGAGCAACCACTGGAAGTTGTGGATCGGTTTATTTACCTCGGTAGCTCTGTAACCTCTGATAGTCACATAATAAAGTTACTTCACGTATCAGTAAGAAGTGTTTGGCTTTCTAGAGGCTCAATTATCTATGGAGACGGCAGGATATCAGCCTGTCAGTGAAAAGTAGGGTGTATAACACTGCGATAAGGCGTGATACTGTATGAATCAGACCTGGCCAGTTCGCAGCGAAGACACTAATCGCTTGGCCGTCTTTAGGCAACCAGTGCTTGCGGACTATTTCTCACATCTGGTGGGAACACCGGGTAAATAATGCTGAGGCCCGCCGGTCAGTTTATGTAACAAACTGTCTGGTGTTTTACTGGAGTGTCTGTTGAATTTGAACCGCCTACGTTGGCTAGGTCCGTACGCCGTGGCTTCGCGAAGTTGGGCAATACTCTCAGTTGGACAACCCATGACGTGGAATAAGGACACAAAATAATTGACTGAGGCTTAGTCAGGTTGGTGTGTGCTGTCTTCGTGGATGGGAACCTCGGGATAGTCCACGCCAATGGTTGGAGGCCTTACCAAACAAAGCGCAGTCGATGATGTTCACATATTCGGTTTCTTGAATCTAGCTGTTTAGTTTAACGCGCATCCTTGTTGATTACATTTTCTTTAGATTCTGACTCATTTTCTAGCCGTTAGTATCCACTGTCTTTCCGGCGATGTAAATCGTGGCAACTAGACCCATCGCACTTTGGTGCCCGCATCATAATTTTTAACTGAACTGAACGGAACCGTGGTAGTGTGTAACGCACCAATCAGTTCCACGTGACGTTTTGGATGCTTTGTTAGGTGCATGTAAGTGGCCGAACGGAATACACGAAATAAGAGTATCATCCCAAAACCTTTGTCTTCGGATATTCGTATTTGCGGATGAATAACCTTGCTGGCCACCGGCTTCTCTGTGGACTGCTACTGAACACAAAGAAGGCGAATGAGCCACCCGGATGGAAACGGCCTTCGTTAATCGCCCCGCTGCTTTGTGGGTCAGATTTTTATGACTCAAGGCTCGGGGTGGGGTCCCTTAATTTAACCCTCGTCCTCGGCGTGCGCAATTGGGAAGATCTCTGTCCACAAAAAACGTAAACCTACTAAATCTTGTTAACGCTTCTACTGGCTGCCTGTTTCCCTTTTTGCTGTTGTTTACCATGTGTTGTGGCACTGCCAATTGTACACTGGTCAAGTGTTGAATACTACTACTAATAATAATAATAATAATAATAAGCCAGAGATGATAAATACGTAGAAGATTGGGCCACAATGCAAAGCAGTGAGATAATCGACGAAAAGGGATAATAAATAGCGAAAAGTACAGAATAAAAACGAGTAATATCGTGCGTTTTTGTTATTGTGCATCGACAGGGAGATTGCGGTTGAAGGGGAGGGACAAGGGAACTCAAAGCAAAAACGTCATTCAGGTCGATACTTTGACAAGTCAAAAAACGTCACTAAACAGACGTAGTTAGTGTCTTCGGATCCAAACCAGGGAGTCAGCAGGTTCCAACCGGCACCACCTTTTGAGAAAATCATCGCTTGGCAACCTCTTTTTTTCCACATGCACCCAGGCCGCGCAAACAAGGCACATCGCATGAGTCGACATACTGGCATGCCCAACACAGGAACAAGCCATCGGAGCTTGGTGTGTGAGATACCGTTACTGAACTGTTGACTTGTTTTTCCTGCACAAAATACAAAACGTCGAACACGTTCATTGCACGAGTGGTGTTCCAACCTGGTGTGAGTTAGGCTGCGAAGGCACCGGTAGTAGAACGCAGCTAGCTTCTTCACACCTGTCGATTTGATGGGCAACGCTTCGCAACCGTTCCAAAGGGTTGAACGGATGGGTGCGCTGTAAACTCCGTCCTTCAGAGGCAAGGGTGATGTCGCGTGGGTGCTGTAATTGGTTAGGACTAGCAAAAGCGCCTCGGTATTTCGCTAAACGGTCAGTGACCTTATCTTCAACTATCCAGGAGCTGATACATCTGCGCAAGTAGTTGAACTCCTGGACGACTACTAGCAGATCCACAACAAGGGTTAGCGCAGAGGTCACTCTTGCCAATCTTGAGGAAAGACACTATATGTCGAAGGTGCAAAGCATAGACCGAAAGGATTGACAGTAGGCGCTATTTTGACCGTGCCGCTCGGTACGTTTCTGAGTTCGCAATTCAAGAAGTCGATCATTTAAAAGCAAATCTACATTTCCTAACTCGTGGTCAGCAAACGTAGTTTCGATAATTTCAGTAACTAACTTTTAGAGTTTCTGCATTAATGCAGCGCAGGTAGCCAACGATCGTTGCGATCTTTAGCGTGATGCTAGGAGTAAATCGGTTAAACACAGAGAGCACAGGTGTGAAAAGTCTGAAAATTAAAGGGGGGCGATAGGTCGCTAATCTCTAAACTGCAATGAACTGCGCTAGCTCGCAGTTTAAAACCCACTGATCCATTTAAACCTGATAGTTCAGTGAGGAAACTAAGTCTAAACATTCGCTTTAGTGGCCGCAGTCCATGGAGACGTTAATGGCTTTCTATTATCAAAATATTGTCATGAGTGACAGTTATCCGAAGGCACATCTCGATGGTTTTGACACGAACAATGATAATCGACAGTCGTTAGCCGTTCAACGAAGCCCTACTGCAGTCAAAACAGCCCCAGTCGAACAGACTGCGAAGTAGCCCAAACTCACTTGCAGTTGGACACGGGTGCAGATGCTGTAGCTAATAAAGCACAATTGATACTCATGCACTCAATCGTCGGCACCTAACAGTTACTCCGACTACACAGTCACTCCATCGGTGCATGTTAAACGCCCTTGAACTCTAACTTCCAACTTTGCCCTTCTCTGTGCTACGGTTTCCAACCACATCTAATGGTGAGGCAAGTACTAGTAACTGGGTCCAAAGCAAACTGGTGAATGGTACACGCTTTTTTAAATAACAGATCCGACTTTGAAGATCTAACCGCTGTGCCAAGTGTCGCGGCCGGATCTCAGTGGCCTAGTAATCAAGGTGTCAATCGTTAAGAATTAGACCGCAAGTTGCACTCTCAGCTCAGGATATATGCAAATGACGAGTCCGAACGAGGATGAAAGTGGTCGTGGGGTTTCAGTGTTGGGAGGGAGCAACATTGAAACCCCTTCACCTCGGATACGGCCCTAGTGATCGGAATGACGGAGGTCTACTTCAAAGTAAACCGATGTTTTAATAGAGGTTGCATATAGCAATTAAACCACACGGCAAGCACTTTAAACCCAACTTTGAAAACATCATCCACTCTGATAGCAGAACACGCCAAGCGGAAGGTAACCCTAGGTAATCCCAAACTGGGTGCTATTTCGATGGCAAGACATGCAGCTGATTTCATAGTATGGTGAAATTTATGCGTCATTCGTAGTAATGACAGTTTCATCCTTCTGATACTCCTCCGTAGATGGCATCCCGGTCGCTCGATAAGGGGTCAGAATAAAATGCTCGTAGTAGTAGCAAACGCGGAATATGTAGATGAGACAAAACTCGTGAGAAGTGACGCAGAACCTCTCACATAAACAGTGCCGCTAAGAGATGCAGCACCGTCCAAACAATTAATAAACAAAGTAAAATGAAAACACGAATTGTTAACCGTGGTGGCAAGCGCTGTTTGACGAACTCAGCTGTGTGATGGTAACATAATCAACCGACAACCACCAAGTTGCCGGTCCAACTCCAAGTTCTTAATGTGCCTACTTCAAGTGTATAGCCAAGGAAGAAACCAGTGGTGGAATGAAGTGTTTAGAGCGGATCACACAGAAAACATCTCAACTCAGACACAGCTACAGTAATCGAGGTTCACATCAACCCAACTGACAGTGAAACTGAGACCTCTTGTCACAATCAGGACGCAACGCAATTACACAAAATCCGAGATTCAAAGTAAGCGCGCACATGCACATTTGTCTGTAGGTCAGCAGCGGGAGCAAATGCGAAATTTAACCATTAACGACGATCTGTTGCAAATAAGCCTTCTACAAGATGGTAGGCTCCGGATGTCCGCAATGCGATGACTCTGCAGATTAACCGAATCGAACCAACTTAAGCTAGTGATCTCTGAAGTAAACCTTACAAGAGGTAGATGGGTAAGTGGCAATATCCGAACGCATGAAATGGGATATCTGTGGCCGGGCTCGTCCAACCAATGCTCGACAGCCAACAAGGTCTTGCACAACTTGGTCCAGTGGAACCGTAAAATATATACAAAACAGTGCTGAGTATCTGTAAGGTTGGCCCTATGGAATGTAAAAATAATGGGCGACTATGTTTTACGTACCTTGCCTGGTCGTAACCGGGAGGAAATGGGTAATTACGACCTCGCTGGTTCGGAAAAGGAAATCTTGGTGGTATGTATGAAGCACGACCATAAGGCCGATTGTTAAAACCGGAGCCATAGCTGAAATAACGTCTCGGTTGATATGGAGGATAGTATGGCCTGTTATAACCTTCGCGTCCATGTTGCATCCCAACCCACTGAGTACCCATGTGATCGGAGGCAGAGCGTTCACGTGACGCCTCGTGCGTCGTCTCCTTGGTTTCAGTCTCGCGTGTTCCCGTCTCTGTGCGAGAGGTAGAGCGACGTCTTCTCGCAGAAATGTGCGGCTCAAGGGGCAGCTGAGGGCGCATTGGGTCTAACAGATAATTGTTGAAGAAGATTGCCTGCGATGCAAAAGAGATATGGGGATTAGATTTATCAACAATGCAGTTGGTGTGCATATGCGAATGAAACAAATGAGCGGACTATAGTGAGACAGGAATCTGAAGAAGTTGTCGAGAGTAGTCAATGCATGTGTGGATAAGAGTGTAGTGTTATGGGGGTGGAGTGTAAGAAAGACTAAGCAGGATGTTCCAAACGATTAATTGAAAGTAGCTACAAAACAAATATACAGATGTATGATCAAATATAAAAGGCATGTGTCTATATATGTGGGTTATGTGTCCTTCAGATAAAACGGGAAATCAGCGGCCCTTGTGCATTTTTGCGCCACCCATAAAAATGCGACAACTATGGTTTGGGTTCTGACAAATAAGTGCTACAATGAAAAATCAGAGCGGCTGATATTGTGTCGTGATGGAGAGGAAAAGAAGCTGATGTACCAACCGAACAATAAGTGATTACATAGGAGGAATGAGACGCACAGCTGGTCACCAAGATCCCCGCATTTCTACCACACAATGATTGTGCTCACGATCAAAAGCTTACTTCGATCCGCTGCATAGATCGTCAGCAAAGCAGATCGACATGCACTTTGAGTACGTCTGATTAGGATAGGTGTGTCCAAAAATGAATAATCATAAGAGCGCTTTATGCGTGTATTTCGGGCAGAGTGAGGGCTTAAACACTCATCGTCGTGAGATAAAGATGTCAGTTGTCATCTGCAACCATCAACTTCGCAACCCACGCAGTATTGGAAACAACAAACATTCGACAAGGAGTAAAAGGTGTTGAGCTGTTTCGATGTGATCGACCTCTCAACTTGCAGCATGCAAATAAGGTTATCCTCATTTGTGGCAACTCACAAGCAGCATTTCTAAGCCGCCCCGAACAAATTAACAATGGTTGCCAATAACTTCGGCCTCTGCTTTGCATCCTGTAGACCAACACAATCAACAGTAGAATATCATCCATTTGAACTGGTGCATAGCTTCCTAAGACCATTATGACCTACGAATCGAAGAATAATAAAAGCGTAAAACACTGTGGCCCTAAACAAAGATTTATGGTAAAGGCGCCTACACCTTCAGTCAACAACATACCGTCACAAACAGCTGGCTATTGTGCAAAGAAAATGCGGCGACGGCGAGATAGATTCCTTGCGGCTTCCACTGCCTCGCGTCATAATCAGCCATTAGCCCGCAGATAACAGCACCAAACACACTTTAGACAGTCAGTCCGACTAGGAGACGACAGCAGACACACTACTGGTTTCGACTTGAGCAATATCCAGCACAATCTATAGCCAAGCATAAAGCGCGTTATGTGTACTTCAGACTAGAAGGCGAGAAGCTTGGTCGTCAGTGACTGCATTTTCCGCTGCCTAGTTAATTGCTGCCCATTGCGGGCCTTGTACCACCCAACATCTTGCAACCAAAACAAGGCCCTCCTCGGTAAGCGGTGACCAGGCATACGTACTACGTGCTCAAGCCAACACAACTCATTCAGTGCTAACTGGCGTTCTGAGGAGCTACCTTGTTTAGTACTGCCTAGTACTCGCCTACGCACATCATCGTTGCGGACACGCTGATACCATCCGACACAAGTAATGCACCGCAGACGACGATGATCAAAGACTTGAAGGCGCCTCAGGTATTCAAACCGAAGGGGTCAAGTCTCACTACCATAGAGCAGGACGGCCCTCACTGGGGCCTCGTAGACACAGCCTTCCAGATAGAGGGGACCACCTTATTTCGCAGATTCAAGAAGATATACTAGCTTTTGCAACACGTGAATTGACTTCAGTTGATATGCCTCCACCCTTGCTGATATAGTTGCCAAAGTAGGTGAAATGAGCAACTACCTCGTGTTCCTCGACATCAAGTGGCTGGTAGTCCTGTAACAGCTCTTCGAAGGTGCGAAGCGCATGCCAAACGATCCGACCACGTTTGAGAGGTTATACAGAGCTGATTGCGCTGCCCCAACTTCGTTAAACAGCAGAATAACATAAGATCATTTGCATAATCAAGATCAACTAGCTTCTCAAGAGGCAGCACCTCAACGCCCGCATCATGAAGCTCCGCATAGAAAAACTCCGTGATGGAGTCCATGACGAAATTGAACAAAAATGGAGAAATCGGACAACCCTGAGGAACGCCACTTGTTGTCGGAGAGGCATGCGACAAATCGCCGTAGACCCTGACACGATCTGTCTTGTTAGTGCATGGTAGGTAAAATGTTCACGTATTTCACGTGAACACCTTCCGGCGCATGTATTTCGAACAGAATGCATCGATCGACCGAATCGAACGCACTCTTGAAATCGAGGAACACACCCACTGTCGATCTGAGATATGTGTGACACTATGGTAGCACCTGCCTCAAAGTGAATATATGATTTATACAGCCCCATCCTGGGCGGAAGCATGTCTGTTCTTCCCTAATCTTGTATTACCGTTCCACAGCAAGGTGACAAACAAGAATTGAGCCCAATAATTTTGTCACACTAGCGTTAGGCTAATATCCCTGTGGTTAGCATAGTCGGTCCGACTGCCCTTCTTGTATATTGCCACTATAATCGACTCGCTCCAGTTAGCTGAAATGGTCTCTTCCAAACCTGTGCGAAGAGAGGTCACCGTCTTACAGAGGACCTCGTCGCCAACTTGAAACAGTGCGGATGCAAAGTCTTCCTTCAGGATTGGCAGGGACACATAAATAAATAGATAAATTTATTCTCGTGCAATGCGAAACACACCTATGTAGGCATGATCATGTCCTGACCACTGAAGAGATTCAAGTACGTAGACAACTGCAACAGCACCTGTAGAATACAAAATGTCACAAACCGCGCAGCGGAAAAGTCGGGTGCTTTTATTAATCTTCGTGACATGTGGCAAGAGCGCGAACTCACTATGGCCCTGGAGAGCAGCGTTTACCATGCAGCCATCAATGTAACCCCGGCTTGTGGCGTTAAGGAACACAAGACTGCTTTGTACTCTGAGGTCGCAGATCCGAGCCTACGTAATGGACTGGGCGACAGCGAAGCGTCGGTAATGCGTACCGACGTACTGCTGATACCTCCATTCAACTCTCCTATACGGTTGCGATAACGTGCTCATCAGATCGACTGACAAAGAAGCTGGTCGCGTCCGATCACTGACAACTTGTTAGCTCAGCGCTTATCTGGTGGGAACATCGTGTGAATACTGAATACCGAAAATAGAGCTAGAAGACAAGCATTTGCGTTGTTCAATCGTAATTAGATCGGGCAGAAGTGCGAAATGGTGTCAATGATTCATGCGTGTCTGCAGCATAGTACAGCGGCGCTATATCATATCCGAGTGCGATGCGCGCTCTAAATGTGTAATCCGTAGTTGAGAATTGCTTGAATTCCGAATCGACTCGTATCTCGGGAAAGCGTTCCAGCATTTCACCACCCGCCGCGCGAAGCATAGACGGTGAGCACGTTTTAGACCCAGCACTACGAGATGGTGCCAGTGAAAGCGATCGCTGCTTGGTGCGCGCGAGTGAAACAGTGGCTTCAACATGGGGAAGTAACCCAGATGCGACATCCAGTGTGTCATAATGAGGCCCACTCGAAACCGGCGATACGATAGGGTGTAGACCCATAATCATCTGCATCGGTCTTCGCACGACACCCCGTAAATTGGGGATGAGTCTAGTAGCTACTTGTCGAACGCCATCCAGTATCTGCACTTCGCCACGAGTGACGGGACAATAGGCAGGTGAGCCATAGTACAGTAGTGGTCTTATGCTGGAAGAGAAGATGCGGGTAGTAATCTATTCAAAGTGCAGAAGCTGCGTTTGAGCGCCCAAAACATGCGCAGCCCACTTTCTTATAGCCTGTTCGTGTTGTCTACGGACTTCAAATCTTAGCATGAGAATAAGCTAAGATTCTTCACGGGTGATATGAGATGTAGCTGTTGACTGGTCAGTGTGTACGTATGCCCATCACCACCCTTCCCCAGGCTGCAGACCACCTTAAAATGCGGCCGAAGAACGCTGCAGTTGTCGGGAGCATTAGTTACCCTACAAATCTTCAGCGCATCTGCAAACAAAGCACAAGACGACCGAAGAAGTTGAGGCAGCTTATTGATGTGAATCAGAAACAAAATGGGCCCAGCAGTTTGCCTTATGATACGCCAGTGGTGTGGGGATACCAGTCGGTTAGACGGTCATCCACCTGTGCCCGCCATTTTCGCCCAATAAGGAAGTCCCCGATGCAATGATGAAGTGAGGTACCAATCCCGAGCACCGAGCGTGTTCGCAGCCTTTTTTATAATGCAGCAAGAGCAAGTTAACTATCCAGTAGCGTTATTTCACACATGAGGCTCTGACGGCTTGGCCATGGGTTGCGCGTGCCGGCAAACCGACTCCCGTAACGTGGCATTGCCTGCGCGACCGGGGTCTAGGTGGAGGAAGATGAGGATGGGTCAATCGAAAGAAGATGGACACGTCTGATTATACACACTTGTTGACGGGGTTAAAAACTGAATTTGAAGTCAGTGTTTGTGTCCTACATTTCTTTGTCCTTCCCCAATCCGTCTAATTTCCACATATAATCATGATTTTGGTCAAGACGCACAGGACAGAGAATAGCATCATTTTTGTGTTGCATTCCCTTTGCTGTTCTTTTTCTTTTTCATTGTTATTTACGACCATTTAACAAAATTATAGCTCAACGTAACAGCTGAGGCGTTACTCACTTCTGATTTTAACCCCCGAGTGCAGTTCAGCTGCACAGCCTTGATCCATGCACACGACACCAAAACAATAACAATAATAGTGATAATGATAAGAGCAATGGGTAAAATCATCAGATTAAATAGTCATGAGTTGGAAATGACAAAACTAGTGCACCGAAATCGCTGACTTCGTGTCTGAGTGATATACGATACGGTGTACAACCATTAATGGGGAGGAGTCCGAGTCTTTCGGTGAATTCCTTTAAGATATTTCGTCATTTGATTCACTGGTCATATCAGGTTTCCACACGAGTAAGCGGAAAATAGATAAACAACGCACACCGAAAAGGCTGCCTTGCGGTTATGCGAAGGACAGCGTCTAGCCTGAGCAGGCAGTCCTAGTTTAACACAGTTTAATGCGGCGCCAGATGGTCTACTGTCAAACACCAAGTGTTGATGTTCAGTATTACGCATTCGGCGATGCCCAGAAAAGCTTTGCGACCCCCCAAATCCCTCAAGCACATCGATGCTTTAATCAGGCACCAATAGCCGGAGGATCGATACCCAATATGGTCCAGATGAACAAAGACACAGCAGTAAGTAAAATAATAGCATTACTATAAGTGAAATGGCTTACATTATCCTTTTTCACAGCTTCCACCTTCTCCATATGTTTGTTCATTATGTGTTTCCTCACGTAAATTGGATCGCGGAATTTTTTATCGGATAACAGACAGACCCAAATGACGTCTCTGAACAGATGGCAGAGTAAAAATGAGTGGGGTGCATCGATCGATAAAAGAGTTTCAGAAGGCAGTACGACTTATAAATGGTGCTATGTACATGTTTTGAAGAAAAAACGAGAGTGGGCGGTTTCATGACATTGTATAAGCATCGCTTGGTACGGAAACCGCAGATGAGTGGAATAAGAGCGCATCTGAGTCTCCCACATTCGCGGTTGTTGCTCCGAACCGTTTACCCGCTAATCACTCAAACAAATTGAAAAACATACGGTGTGCTCATGGCAACACAAATGCATTGAGAGGCTTGAAATCCAGTCCTATCCCGGATCCGCTATTAGGGGTGTCGCGCAGTTAATAAGGCACATAAACTGAATAGGTGATATTCGTGCGAACCAAATCCACTCCAAACATCAGTTCCAGGGACGAAGGCACTACAGAAGCAATGGTGATGATACACTGATTGCGAAGCACCTTGGGTGGATGAGGTCCGGCGCAAAGAACGAGCCAGCTGCAGATGAAAATACAATTTACTGATAGTGCACAAAATGTAGAAGACCGCTGCACGTAAGTAGTAGAGCATGATACTCCCCAAAAGATAGATAAACGCTGGTCCGTGAAACTCACGTGCAGAGAATGCACTTTAATCCAGACAGCTTAGCCAAAACAGTATAGAAATCGACCAGAAAGAAGTAAAAGAAATCGACTATCGATAAAGGACCCGATTGAAATGACATCGTGTGACTTTGATAGCCATCAAGCTGCTGTCTACTCAGGCGCTAAAACAAATGATTGAGGAATCGTATAAAATGGAACAAAGGGTAACGCTAAGGCGACTTACGTTTTGCGCTTCTTGCGACGTGTATTAGCCTTCACAAAGTTCTCAACGACTTCCTCAATATCCCTCAACCCGAGACGCTTGCAATCGGCTTCATTTAAGGGCCGAATCAAGCGTATACATCGGTATAGCTGGGCAACGAAAACCTGAGAAGATAAACGCCAGATGGATGATTGATGGCAAATGCTATAGTCAGTTAGGATATCGATAAGAACAAGGGAGTGAATAGCTTGTGGTGTAAAAGAAAAGGTTTGATCAACAGTTGAGCGCATTTTCTGAGTTGAGTAGTAGTTAAGAAAGGCAGTGTTTTTAAAAGACAAGAGAGGGAAACGGAGAGAGCAAAGCTATGTTTGAATAGAGGTAGTGCGAGACCAAGTCCGTTAGAAAATTCGGAATGGTAGATAACGAGAAAGAGGTGATTGAATAATCAAAGTAAGGCGTAGATTCTTCCTCGGAAAAATGTGAATTCCTAATCTATATCAACGATTTTTCTAGCATAGTCCAATTAAACTCCCTGACATTTGCAGACGATCTCAAGATCCGGCGTAACATCAAGACAGTAGATGATTAGACGGTACTGCAGAAAGACTAGACAAGGCCCATACGTGGTCATTCAAGAACTGAGTCCAGTTTAACTTGGCAAAGTCCAACGTCTTAAGCATACGCGACCAGCGCAAGCATAAATATCCATTTTGGGAACAGCGGTTGTAGTGTTTGAGACAAGAAAGCGACGTCGGAGTAATCGTGCAGGATGACGTTGGTTGCTTGAAACGGGATGGAAAAGCATCCAAAAAAGCCAGTAAACACATTGGCCTCCTACGGAGGGCGTTCAAAGAGTTCGAGCCTTCTATCTTTCTGCAAACGCTCACGTGAGGCCACATAAGGAAAGTGCCTATTGTCCGTGGCACAAACAAGATGTTGATGCGATTGAAGCTCTACAACGTAGGAGAACCGAAATAGTTGAGGGACTGTTGCATCTTCCCTACCAACTCAGACCGCAAGCCCTTATCTTGTACAGCAGTGTATACTGGCACCTGCGAGGAAATCTCCTCGTAGCGTACCTACTATTGGCGAACCTCAGTCAAGCATGTTGCAACTCAGTCGCAATAGTAACCTGAGAGTCCACCAGCTCAAACTTGTCACGCACTGTATTCGACTTGCCGAGGAGTCTTTTCACTCTTCTGGTAGCCCGGACACAAACGTTCCTCCTGATCATAGTATGTTTGCCCCAACACCAACGTTTTTCAGAAGACGCCATGACGACACGCTACCCCATTTGCAATATGTGATATAATCCGTTCCAATAGGAAGACGAACTAACCCGAACCAAAGAGAGTGCTCTCCAGCCCCCTCCGTAAGGCAGCAGCGAAGAAACCTGCATCAGCGTTCATGTGGATAGCTTAGTGAGTAATCTAAAACCCGAATGTCCACCACTTTTTATGTTATCTTTGGCCTTGTCATCCTCACTCCGGACATCATATGAGACTTGCTAAGCAATCGCTTTGTTCATCGTTCAATGCGTGATGTTGGTTTGGTAAAAAAAGTTTACGAACGGCCTCGTCTATTTGTTTAATATTTATCCGCTCAACGATAATGAAATCATATGATGGGATATGGCAGAATCTGGTCATGTTAGATGTTGAAGGGTAAAACGCGGTCAACGAGACACCCACACCGATACAGTGTATACAAGCTGCCAGGACGTTAGACTACAGTCGGCGGTAATGGCACACAAAACAGTGCGTGGCCAGCACAATGGTGAAAACTCCGCTTATCATCGTTTACGGTATTGGAGTGAGTCAGGTTGTCAAAACCCGTGGTATGAGGAGTAGGTAATCGAAATACCATAGACGGGAAAGTGTTTGAGCAAAAACAAAAGACCATTAGTGAACGGAGTTCATGGAGGCAAGACAAAATGAGCGAGAAATGCCATGGGCCTATCACGCGGACGGTATCATAAAGCTAAATGGAAATGAAGTCTCCTATTCTTTTGTGTATGCCATGTTAGTTCAGTTCAGAAAACGATGCACTGATCAGCTCCAAACCACTGGTCCTCGGGGGATAGACACGGTTTGGAAGGAACAAGATATTGGTTTTCGTTGTAAAATTCATGCCTGAATAAACGATACCGCACCACTGATACAACGTCCGGAGTGCCTCGATGATAGGCCACCAAAGGAAGCCTGTTCGTCAGTCGCGGATGTTGACGTCTTTCCCAGAGAGAGTTGTAACGCTGAAGATGCGGACACAGAGTACGAAGTGTTTACTAGTCTGTCAGAGGCAGCAGACCGGCACCAGGACAAGGTTCTGCACACGTCACCAGCAAGAAAGAACCTAGCAGTTAACGTAGTGTATGCTTCATATCCATCCTGAGAACAAATTACCTGACTTTTGGCAAAGCGTAGGAGAAACGTAAACGTAAAGTACACTAGAATCGCGCTCAGGCCATGAAGCGGATGCATGCCTCAGGCTCTTACTTTGTCCAAAGCTGGAGCGATTGCTGCGTTAGCACAGATAGTACGACTCAACGCCTTTGTGAGGTCCGTTTTACTGGGTCTGACGTGAATGATCTGGCAGGGATGTGGCATCGCATCCTCGTTTGGGTAGATAGCAGGTGCGTAGAAATCCACTGAATGTACGACTCGCAGATAGAGAACCAGGCGATCGAGCATCCGCAACATTTCAGTGTCGTCATCTGAAGCGACCATATTGGACTGCGCAGTTGTTGACGGATTTGTGTTGCTGGTAGGATAGTTGTAGCCGAAAGATAATGACTGGAAACCTCCTAGGTGGAAAACGGAGGGAGACACACGGGCAGTGAAATATGCAAAGGAATGAGTAGCAACCAATGCTAATGTGTTAACACGGATTGTGCAAGCTCACCCGATAAAAGAATTTCCTCTTCTGCGCTTCGCTCATCTACTAAACAATCAGTGAGGCCTTGAAGTAGTGGGTTTTCGCTCATCAAGCTGCCTAGAATGGAGGCGGCCTTGAGAAGATCTTCCCCTGGATCCAATGGCAAGGGTTCTTTGGAGGTGGGGGACTCTTTTTCGACATCCATTTTCTCAGGTTGTCTGGTTGTGCTGTCCTCACCTGAATTAGTGGTAACAAGAGCGAGGAGAAGATTGAATTGCACGTGTTACTAAGTCGGCCCGAAAATGCTGTAGAGGAAGGCAGAACAAAAAATTACAAACACTAGAGGGTGTAAATAGTCGACCTTTCGTGTTCTGAATTGCGACAAATCAGTGGCAGTGATTGCGCTGTGTGCCCGGTAGAACCCAGATCCAGAGCAAACTCTTCCATCCAGTGATAAAGTGAAGGTACTTAACCTGATGACTTCACCAGCGCGGACTACTAATAAAATATACAATAAGCACAAAGATGAAATCCCGAGTTCCGCCGAATGAATAAATTACAAGATGATCACAAAAGAAGGGTAGAACAAAAAATGGTTAATCCGCCCGCGAGTGGTGGGTACCCAAAGTTCCGGTTTATAGCATTTAATGCCATTAAAGATGAATGAAGCACCAGCCTACATAAAGGGATATGAATTTTCCGGAGGCCGAGTGGATAAGCAGCTATAATTACGCAATAGAGACGTGTTTGGTGGCAGTGAAAAAGAGAATAATACAAAAATATTATGCTCTGACGTCGTGATTAGAGAGAGATAAGAGGAAGAGCAAAAAAATCCGCAGTACAAACGCCACCGAGGTCGGCTTATTGTGATTTCAACTACTGTACCCAATCAAACTTGTTCATCGTCTATCAGTCAGGAACTACTGAGACCTAGTTTGAAGTGAAAACCTTTATTCCTCTTGCTGACCGGTGACTGAGTGGTCTCTGCGCCTGGTTTGCAACCATAAGGTCCGTGGGTCGAATCCGCGTAGGGATGGGCGTCCTCGCGGTATACTCAGCCCGTGTGTGACCGGTGGTGGTCGTACGGCAGCGAAGCACCGTTACGGAGTAGAGCTGACACATTACTTATATTTTTCTTGATCAAGTTGGCCTCCTCTCCTCTTTCATCCAGACCCCGATTGCTCAACGAATACACTTCGCTGGAGTCGTTGTGCTGGCATGCGCAATACACGGCCCATCCATCGGAACTTGGTGCGTGAAATAACGGTGCTGAGCGGTTCAGTTGTTTTGGCTGTACTATAAAAAGCAGTGAAGGAGCTCACTGCTCATACGGTGTTCTCGCCAGTATAAGATAAACTTCAAAGCACCGGTGGTCAACTGCAGTTAGCCTCTTCATATATGTTGGTCTATTGGAACAAGCTGCGCAAACGCACAGAAACGTTCAACGGATGGTGGAATTCCAAACTCTATCATTCAGTGCAATCGCGATGTCGTTTAGTGCTGTGCCTAGTTAGTGGAAGTTACAATGAATACTAGCTGATCCCTACGGAGGGTCAGCCCAAGGAGTAGGCCCTACCAATCCTGAGGGGGAACTTTGCATCTGCAGGGTGCAAAACAGAACCTGAAACGGCTGAAAACCAGAGCTGATTTGTCAAGTGCTGCTTGGCCCGCTGCTTGTAAGTTGTCACATATGAGGGTACAGGTTAAGTTGGAAGTCGATCACTTTGAAGCAACTTCACACCTCTTAAGTCGTGTCTAGGAAACGCAGTTTCAATCAATTCGTCAATGGCGAGATAAAGAAGGAAAAGTTGGCGGCCGGTATAATTGTCACACAACGCTAGATATTGAAGACCGGCGACAATTTGCCATAAACCCACACTCTGGCCGAACTATGTGCAAGAACCCCTCGTAAAATATATACATATTTCCAAGGCATACTTTTTTAACCAGACATTTCTAAAGAACACAACGATCCCCCGAATCGAATACACCTTTGGTGGCAAGGAATATGATTAAGATGGGACACCAATAAACGTGGCGGTGCGTCAGTGATTGACGTGGAGTGAAGATATTGTCAACGCAGCCTCGATTTCGGCGAAACCCAACTTGATCCCCACGAATTTGGCTTTCACGGACACTAACTAATCTGTGGAGAACGACAGAGGCAAGTAACTCGGATTGATTTAGATCAGACTGATACCTCAATGATGCGCGAGATGCCACACCCACAGGGACGACAGAGAGAAAAGGGTGATCATTGGTTGGTAACGGCCAATTAAGTTACTTATCGACGTGCCAACATGCCAAACGATTTGACAGGTTCTGATTGACCGTCCCCTAACACCAGGTCACATGCCGTAGGTTTTCCGTTCCAGACGGAATAACTTTTGATGATTACCAAGAACAGTGGCCGTTCCGATGCATGATAAGACCACCAGGCTCAGCGACCTCGCTTCAGGCTGGCAGACAGTTTCGTTTTAAGATCCTTAAGTCTTGTTGTGTTCCCTCCCAGCCGGTGAATATCGTTAAGTTCCGGGGGATGTGTATGGACGGATCGGATGTGAAGATAAACTTGCTCCTAATAACATCTGATGAACACGCGACCAGTGATCTTCAATTGTGTTTGGTATGCGCTTACTCGGCCCGCATGCCATCGCACTGTGAAACGTATTCAGGACATTTGGCTTCGCCAGTTGACAAGTATCTATGCGCTCACAGCGTCGTTGGGGACGTCCCACGAAGCATACCGCGAAGTCGAGAGATACAAGTGCATGATCGGAGTCCACGCTTGCACTTCAGATCGAACAACGGTTGTGAACACAGCATCTACAACGATAACTGATCGTGATGCGATGGATGGGAGTGCACCGCTGGTTCGAGGCTGGTGGGAGCCATGCAACTCTGCGCCAGGTGCTGTCGGAAGTTAGTGCTCGCGAAAAATAGACGAGCAGATTTACACAGATGTAAAAACCGCACATGGTTTTCGCTACTAGAGCATTCACTGTGCTGGTCGTCCAGGTGCAGCTTATCAGTGGATAATTTTCCAAGTTCAGAGTTCGGATTACCAGCCAACACTACAGTGTCAGTATTTTGTTGTGATGAAGGAGCTCGTTCAGTTGGGGATAGAAATCATCTGTCATCGAGGCATTGCTACAGTTTGTTGGGGGCGTAAGCAGCAATGATAAACAGGCACCTGTTATCCCCGCGCGACATCGAAGCTTGGGACGAGGCAGCCAATGTGACGGCGCACCTCCAGATATTCATTGGAACCCAGTCGACCAAAGCAGCTTCAGACTTAAGTTCAGAACGGCGCCCATTCGGGCTAAATCGGCTTGTGAAGCGAAGGTGCTCTGCCAAGTTCAAATTCACAAACCTACCTGTGGTGCAGTTAGTACTGTTGGTTCGAACAAGTTCATAACATACGCACATAAAGAGTTGCACTATGTCGTGCCCTCCATTGTCTATGAACCGTCTTTCCAGACGTGCATAATATGATGTCGTTGTACCTCGCTGGGCGAATCCGTGATGTAAACAGTCGACGACACGGCGTAAAGGTATGGAAGGATTGACCGAGAGACTCGGTCAAAATGGTGTACGCCACGTTCGTGGATGGGCGCATCGGGACGGTCCACACCAGTGGTTGAAGAACCCATCGGACATGACGCAGTCATGTAATCAGTAGCGCTCCTGCATTCGGTTCCCCGAATCTAGCTCTGAACATTCCACTCCGATTGATTTTATTTACCGCTTTCCTAATTTCCTTTTATTTGTACCCTATTTAGGTTGTGTTTCAATTTTTCACCATTGCTATTTTTGTTGCCGTGACAACGAAAGTGGGGATGACTGGATTCACGGCGCTTCGGCGCCCAGATAATGATTGTCTAAAAGAACGGAACAGATTCAAGGTCTAATAAAAGATAAAGCGGCTGGTTTGCCGAACAACCTCCACGAGGTGCCAAATGGGTGGTTCGGGATCTACCCTTCAGCAAATAGTTCGGCGGCAGTGTTCCAGGACGTGGTGGGTTTTTGTCTGGCAAGCGTTCTCCCTATAAAAAGTCACAAATGTCCGTTTAAGATCACTGCGACGTGGCGGATGTGACTCGCCACTAAATAAAATCACTACACCTTGCATCAATCTGGTGGAGCATTGTATTCCAGTAATGGGAAGGTGGGATTGTGGGGAGGATTGGGCCCCTGTTTGTCAACCGGCCAAACGAAAGGCGTATAACTGATCAATCAGTCACCGGCTACCAATGGGTGCGATTCCCTGAATTCGTCGCGCTGTCTTGCGGGTAGGCTATTTAGCCAAAGGGTCGGGGTGGTGCTCCCTAAGACAACGCTCTACTTCGGCTTGGGCAACCGGGCAGTACCTTGTTCTCCGACGAAGCCATAGAATTCTCTGTGTTGGGTTCGGTTTGTTTTTATGATAACTGTAGCTTCCTTTGATTTCCGTGGGTTTTGGTGACTTTTAATCTATCCGTAGAGTGATGCAAAATACATATAAGAAAAAGGAAGCTCGAGTATAGAACAGTTTTCGCTTTCGTTGTTTTCCAACAACAGGGGAAGGCCGGTTTCGCGTGTCTAAATCACGATGCAGCGTGAAAACATAGATCCAAATGGTCTTGCCTCAGTCAGTTAGAGAAACCGAGAGCTGTAAGCTTATTGGTTAAGGGAAAGGCCTAACAACGCTTCAGTGCTACCAGCGTCATTGAGTGGATCAGAGACTCGGTAACTGTGTGCTGATGGCGTTAGTGTGCTGACCATCGATGTCTACGAGGAAATGTTCACGTGTGACGGGAGTGCCGAATGAGCAGACAGAGGCTCGTCATGCGATGTCTGGCAACGAACTCGTTGGAGTACTTGTTGAAGACGAATCGTCCCCGTTGCTCCACTATGTGACCAAGCACGTCTGCAAGCCGGTTACCTTGACACGTACTATCAGCCAATAGTTTACGTAGTTGATTGAAACCCCGAAACAGCCAGTTAGTAATATGGCATGGAATAGGAAGGCAGACGAAAGAGTTGTTGATAGAGTCGGTGCTTCAAATCAAAGCAAGTCAACTCAGAGCAGTATGCTCAGATGGGTGCAATTACGGCATTGTATAATGTCGACTGTGGATGGACTGAAACGGCATGATCAAAAATGCGAAGCCGCATGGATGGAAAAAAGTGAACATGGTGCACTGGAATCAGTTGAATAAACGGTCCCGTAGCTGCAAGAGCGCATAATGACGCGATGTGCATTCGCTTCAACAAAAAAGCATAGAAGGCTAGGTTGTCGATCAGAACTGTTTTTTCGCGTTCTCAAAACGTTTCTTGATAACTCGGTCAAATCGTGTAATATGCGCATTGTCACGTAGCATTTTTCTTCAAAAACTTCGACTCAGAAAGACAGCATTATTGACCTTAAATTAAAGAAAATGTGAAAAAATAATCCTAGAGTACTGGTGCGTCCAGAGTAGGTAGAATAAAAATGCTGCTTCAATGAAGAATGTGACGGCCATGCCTGTTCATCGCCTTCCCGGATGTGATCTTGGGAGTGGCCAACCCAGGAGAAAAGGAACTAGCGGATATGGCACACTCATGAAATCAGTGGTCTACTTGCATTCGTTCGATTATGTCTGTCCACCTAACCATTCTATCTGACACTTTCATCGTTTACCCATTATCACCCCCTAAATTTATTGATGTCATTAATACTACCCCAGTGATTCGAGTTTGCCCGACTGAAGTAAGCGTATATTAATGAACGGATCATAGTTGATACACTGAACTGAGGTCTTCTCTGCGGCCTAAAGTAAGAAGACGATACACATTCAACAAAGATAGATCCAAGATGGATTAGTTAAAGATTTATCTTGCTCTAGAAGCAATCTAGGTAATAGAAACGGTGTACCAAAACTCAGGGATTGGCAAAAGACATAATAAAACTGATGAAATACGCGGAATATGGGAAAACTCCGGTAAAAACTGGTGCTGTCAATTGATATGCATAGGTAGAATCCAATCAAGGAAGCACAGAATGTGACAGTTTTTGTCAAGCTATAGAGAGGTTCCACACTAGAAACCCGAATGAGTGATACAGCATTAGCAACACACAAACAAGTGGTATACCTTTAGCATCAGCTGCATCAAGACCAGGGTGTGACGAATCACTGTCATCAGCATCCGTGGAAGCTGAACGATCCAGCGTCGGTTCGGCAACAATTACATCATTTGTGGTGATAGGTGCTCTGGTTGTTTGGGAGTTCCACAACCCCCGAGCCTTGTCCAACTCGTCCGCCAGTTTGGCCGCAAGCACTAAATGCCGTCTGAGTAAGCCTTTTGAGTACAAACGCTCCGGACACGTCTCCAGCAGTTTCGTCATGAAGTAACTGGAAGATCTTACTCGGTGGGAATTGAGTCGCTTTAGATGATCAGGCAATGCTTTAGCAGTCCGGAGGCATTCCAACAAGTCTTCCGGAGCCTGGGCCTCCGTTGCCTGGTGCAAAAGTTTAGAGCATATAGCTTTCACGTCAACATTGACTAGGTTGTCACCTTCCTTCGTTTGGGCAGCAAACGTGGCCCATCCGACACGACGAAGGGATATGCCTGGGGAAGAATCCGTATCTGGGCCGAAGAAAGGCTCGTTCACATGACCAGCGTGGCCATCGGTCGACGGCATGATCACCGGGTCTAAGACAGCCAGACGAAGGAAGTGAGGAGAGGTTGAAAAAAGCTGAAATGCAAAACAGACATTTTAAGAAAATGAAATATGTAAAAGCCTACGTGCATGGAACCGTGACTTAACGACCGCAAGATGAAAAAAGAAAAAACAAAACTATCCTGGGGAGCGTGATATGGTGCACAGCAGGTGGGAACGATGGTGGGATAAGTATGCGGCATAAATCAACTGAACTGTTGCGCACGTTCATTCGCTAGTAGAGCCGTGCTGTCGACACAACCGGTTTCAAATGCAGTGGGTTGGGAAAGCACATACTATGAAAGTAAAACTATGGCAAATCGGAGAACGTCTCTAATGAAACAAGTTAAGTGAAAAATATTCAGGCGATCGTGACACCGTGAACGTCTGTCTTAATGGGAGTTCATCGTAATAACATCCAAGTCAGGTAGTCTTCAGCACGTCCGGGAAAGCATCAGACGGTCTATTGGGACTTGTCAGTAGTGTGCATTCCTACACGTCTTCCGGAATCGAATGCTTTTTTGATGACTATAGCTAAAAAAACGTTCGAATTCGAATGAGATCACGGGCCCAGCTAACACTAGGTAAATTCGCCGCTAATAAAGAGTATGCGAAATCATTTAGTAGTGAACAACGTGCTTGCATCAATCGATAGTTGGAACTAGATAAAAAGCACCTAAAACAAAAACAACCTCAACTCGGTGAAGCCGAGCAATTATGGTGACGTCGAGCTCGGAGGTAACAGTAGTCAGTACATGCGCCTCGATGTCAAGCACCGGGTAATAACTATAGTGCTGGCCAAACCTACGTAGGAACGGAGACTCGAAAGGGTGGGGGAGTAGAGGTTAAAAGCCAAATATCTGAATCAATAAGCCACATATCCCCATAGGGGGTGGGGTATGGGTGTGTTGAAGTAACGAAAAAATATAACTCACCGCGATCAAGTCCTTCTGGTAGACGGTGAATGGGATGTGAGGGAAATAAAGAACACGTGTATGGTGGAATGGCAGTTTTCGAACTTGCTGTAGTTCTGGGTCCTCTTCCAGGACAAATTCCTGTTCGACGGTCATCACGTTTCCTGAAGATTGTTTGGTTTGGATCGAGTCGGTCGGGTCCGCATGAACCTTAGGGTTTCTCGAAGGTTTCATTTCATCTTCCAGATTAGAAACAGGCCCACGCCTAAGCCTAGTGGAGGAGGACTGATTCGGGCTAATGCTGCTGCGTGCGCTACTGGCGCCTGAGCTGGACGATGAGTTTCGGTGAGTGCGGCGAACGTTTTGTGAAGTCTTTTTCGTACGCTTGCCTGCGGTTGATTGGTCCGGAACATTAGGGTGACGTCGACGCACCTTTCGCTCCACCTCGCTCTTATTTTCACTTGCGCTACTATCAACCTCCTCCTCGCTTTCACTAGATCCACTAGAATCACTGTCTGAGCTACTGCCACTGTGTTGAGAGCTAGCACTCTCGCTATCGGTCCCACTAGAGCTGCTACTACTACTGCTGCTGCTGCTACCATCACCGCCCGCACCGTCGCCGCTACTGCTTCCGCTGCTACTCGCGCTGCCACTACGACTGCTACTGCGGTCAGTACTGGAAGCGTCTTCAGCTCCATCTTTAACTTTCTTAGTCTGACGCCGTTGACGCCGCGATTTCTGTTTAGCAGCCTTGGGACGACGTTCAGTGGAAGGATCGTGAGCACTGATGCGCTGAGAAAAAAGTGAAGAAAAAGGATGGACAGGAAGGTAAGGAAGAGGCAAAGCCCGTCGAGTTGCTAACACGGAAAAGAATAAAGGGCTAATTGGGACATCTGCATGATCATGTACAAATCAAAGGACAGCTGTTAGATGGCCAATAAATTTGCAGTCCCTAACTCGACGGGCCGTTTTGAAGCACTCGTTCTATGAACGGATTGCAATGCGCAATCTCAACATGGACCGCGATCCCCATTGAAGTGAACCTTGGTCAATTCGATCGCTGAGGCCGCAAGTGAAATAAATCGAAATGGTGTGTTGTCCGTCCGAAAACACTGCACTTCCGGATCGGCTTCGAACTTGTTTGCTCTCATCAGGTAGAAATAGAAGGACCGCACTCGAAGTGGAGTGCAGTGTTTTCGGGCAGGCAACACCTGATATCCACCGATATCGTTCCTACTTAGTGGAAATCGTTGAGGATGTAATCGAGATAACGAAGATGGTATGGCTCTATTAACAGTCAAGTGGTCCATTAAAGGAGAGCGATGTGAACTATTACGAAAGGTTAAGAGTGCAAATCGGTTTTGTATTGGCTTTTATTGCGACTACGTTTCGCTCTTGACACAAGAGTCTTCAGGCTATGTGAACTAGTACATAAATAGCTTGGCTTTCATAACAAATTAAGAGGATACTTGTGAGAAGTAACACGAGTCAGTGGAGAATTGTGACCACAGTTTAATGGTACAGCAAGTAGGGAACATTGCCGATTGATCCGCGCCACATGTCATTCATATGTAAGACATTCTTGTTCTGGTTGCTACTAATCCTACTGATCATAGCTCGAAGCGCTAGCATTAACCGGAATTCGTCCGCCGAAGCTGCTCACATTGGCATGGGTGAAACAGCAGGCTACACGTTTAAAAGCTACACTGCATACATTCTGTTCAAACAACTGACCTCAGAAACTAACCTTTGGCTTGTTACTCGCACTCTCCTAAGGTCGTCGAAGCAAAAGCCGTTATGAAAGCGAGTTGTATTCTAAACCTTCTAAAATTATGAGCTCCCAGTCGGTTCCAAGCTTATTCAGAGAAATTGGACGTAGTATGCCGATAAGCAGAAATGAGAAAGGAGGTACTGAGATTTAGTGAAGTGAATCGGATATCAGGGAAGAGATGAAAGTGGGAAAGAGCCCAACTTCATTTGAAGATCATTTCAGGTTTCATCAAAAGGAAGCAACAGTAAATTTACAGCTTCGAGTTCGACTGCTGCACCATGTGAAACACAGTTCCAATAAGTCATAATACCGGCAGCTCGGGTTCAGCGTTGTGATATTGACTTGTTTGCCGGGTAGGGCAATTCGCTTCCAGATGTTATGTTACTAATCGAGGTGACATTTTCAGTGTGTCGTAGTGGCAGTAGTGATTTTGCTGGTAGACATAGAACTTTGATTCTAAGCAATCTAACAAAACTAAGCCGCCAGTGTCAGTAAGCGAGGAATACTTCCGGAAGAGAGGCTCAGTACGCAATTATTTTGAAAAATCTATGGGGTAACAAATGTTGGCTCTATGTGCAACAAGTGCAGACAATCCAGATTAAAGATACAGCCACATAGAGTCAGTTGCGAAATTACAGTGGGACGAGGAATAGCCGTTTACCGAATGCCACCTAATAGACCGAAATTACAGCAATAGTAAAAATGCAACACAAACTGTACTCGCGATTGGCGACCATTAAAAGCGACAAATGAATAGGGTTGTGAGTTGCGCAGTGAACAGAAAAGAAATGGTTACGAAAATGCAAATTGGTAAGAATTCTATGTAGTTCGAAGTTGCAAAAAGATATTGGGTGACGCAATCATATTTTCTGGCGCACAGCGTCTAATGGCGATTTATTACAGAAAAATCAAGTCTCAGTGTGGTAAGGTGAGTGAGAACGAGATTTGGGAAATTAAGAAAGCTGCGGAATCACTTCAATACACAGTAGAACTCCGAGTGAGCTTGCGTACCATAATCTAATTGAGCCACCTAACACAACCGACACGAACAATAATCAATGCACTTCGGGTCAGCCTTAATAGCGTATCCGGCAGTCATGTGAGCCAGAGAATCAAACCACGAGAGCACAGATTTGGATTCCAATCCGGACAACATACTGGTTATAGCTAAGTGTGTGAATGTTGTCCTGGGCTGCAAGGTTTCGGTGGTCCCTAAACTGGTATAAAAAGTAGAAAGCTGACGAGTCAACTTGTGGAACGCAAAAATCCGTCAGCAGTACGCTGGAGTACGTAGTACCGACGCTTCGCTGCTACCCTACCACCACCAATCGCATGTTGGCTAAGGATGCTGCGAAGATTGTCTGGTGCCTACGCAGGTTTGAACACGCGCCCTGAAATTACAAGGTAGGCTTGTGATCCTTAAAGTTAGGAACCGGCAGTGGAACGCAACGAACCGTGATAAACAGCGAAATTCTAAGCTTGAAAAAAGTAACGTTGGAATAAGAATGGTGTAAGTCAGGTAACCACAGCAGTATCGGTTAGTTAGGAATGGGAGGATCCTGCAAAAAACCTGACGTAATCGCGTAAGACCGAAATATGTGATTCCAAAAGCCGGTGTATGTAACGTAAGACGTGAAACAGGCCCATATACTTAAGATTGATATGCGCGGTAATGGTTGCAAAACAGTTAACAACTCTCATAGATAAAAAGAAATATCGTCATACCGGCTTTCGTTTAGGTGTGCCCTCATGGTCAGAAATCTCAACTGGTAAGGTGGATGGAGACTTGGCTGGAATATTGTTTGCGTCTGATGCCTCTTTCGTACGCACAGCGACGGCAGAGTTTGTCGAAACCAGCTTGGATGACGTTTTCGCATACTTAAATTCATCCAAGAATCGTACATCCTCATCAGTGCCTCCAGCCAACTTGATCGCAACTGAAAAACAAAAACCCAAAGCTCATAAAAATAGAAAGTGTATGTGCTTAAGAATAAGTTTGGTTCAACGGCAAACAAGGAACAATGACTGAGCGGGAAACTGTGACAAAGTCAAGTATTCCAATCGATGAGAGAGCAAGAAAGGCGAATATGAATAATCGTTTCAAGGACAAGCATACAAGGAGAATAATGTCAAAAAGGGACGGTGTGTGATTTGAAACACCACTGTTATTAACAGTACAAAAACGATCAAGAAGCAAGGTCGAGAGTGTAAACCCTTGAAAAACTAGATATGGATAAGGATATTTAGGCAGTGTCAGAGAGTTTCGGAGCTGTTCTCTCCCAACACTGCACTCCACGACCGACCGGTTTCGTCCTGAGTTGGACTCGTCAGGTTCAGATTGCTTGAGCTGAGATGGGAGACGAACACATTGGTTGATGGCTTTCGTCTTAGTCACTAGGCGAGAGCTCCAAAGCAGCGCTTGACACAGCGGTTGGAAGTTCTTTATTGGGTCTAGGAGTACCCGCTGGGTGTCTGGATTGCGACACACAATCTCGATTGAGGCTACAGTTTGCTTTGAAGCAAACCTATGCCGTGCAGTGCTGGAAGAAAGCAGCTCCAAAATTCTTCGCATCGCGCGCGGTCCCAGTGATGGAAACGGCAAAACAAACTGTAGCCTCAAGGTAGGCCTTATTCATTACTTCTTAAGTGGGTAATATTGTGGGGTAAACCTCATCAAACGATACGATTGAAAAGTTAGACACCGGGTCCGCGTCTGGCCCAGCAAGTTGACATGAGAAACCAGCAACTATTGCACAGTGAACAATGACGAAATTGGAAGGAAAAACAACTGTTTGTTGGGTTTTGAAGTACCCACCGTGTATCTGGATTGTGACATGTAATCTTATTTGCCATTGCACATGGCTAGAGTATAGGGTGACCAGCCGGATGTAACTAATCGAGCAACTGCATCCGGTGTCGGCCAAGACGCCGGTCGTGTAGTCGATGAGCACACTGTCCATGGTAAATGAGGGGAACAACACATCACAACAAATTACGACAGTTGCTATGTCTATTAAGACAACTACAAAAATAAGATAATGAGAAACACCATCACTGTGTTTATTAATAACATGTTGTAAACCTCAGTAACTTGCGAATGGTGAGCTAGAGAAAAATAGATGCTGTACAATGGAAAGCCTCATGCAAGAAATACCGGAGAGCATATCATTATGATGAGGCATGTTCAAGTGTAGGAACGAGAACAAGGTATTTTCAGTGAATCACAGATGAAGCCAGAGAAACCACAAACAACTAAGTAGAAGTGGCAAGCGTAAATAGGTAGGCAAATAAAACGTTCCGACAGCGGGAGAACGAGCTAAGTATGGTCAATTCAATTACGTTGTACAAGTATGATTGGGACACAGAAGAATAATATTAGATAACAACGGTACAAAATAGGGTTAAAAGAAAAAATAGAATAAAGAATACGTAAAACTAATCGGAATGGAATGCCTAAACACAAGAAACCAAATGCAGGAACACCACTGACCGCCCGACTGTGCCATGTCTAAGTCTCCAACCACTGGGGTAGACCATAAAGAGGCTCCCATGGAGTAAGACGGCATGCGACAGCCTGACCAAGTCTCTCGGTCAATTCCCTCTCCATGCCCTTATGCTACGTCATCTACTCGGCACCTCGCAGTGTCGCCATACTTGGTGCAGTGAGGCCGTGTAATGCACACTGAGGAAGGCGATCAATGGGCATCCGGAGGACATGAACTAGCCAACGTAAGCGGTACGTACTCAGCAAACACTTGAGTGAAGCACCCGAAGGCTCTTTGCAAAAAAGCCACCAACTGACTGACCTCAGCATTGCTCATCCGGTGTTCCAACCAGATGTGAGAAATACTTTGCAAGCACCGGTGGCCAAACACGACCAAGTGTTTAGTGCCTTCATTGCGAACTGATCAGGTCTGATCCACACAGTAACATCGGCCTTATCGCAGCATTATACACCCTACTTTCCACGGACACGCTGATATCCCGCCGTTCCTATAGGTGGCGGAGTCCGAAAAATCATGCGGACCTTACTGATACGCGAAGTAACTTTCTCAGTGATGTGACCATCAACAGTGATGTAGCTACCAAGGTACGTGAATCGATCCACTAGTTTCATTGGCTGTTGGGTGATGGACAAAACCGGTTGCACACCGGTCCAGCCCTGGAACAATACTTAGCACTTTGAAGGTTCAAAATACATGCCGAAGTGTGAAGCGCTACACATCATACTGTTAAGTAATGCATGCATGGGCACTGCGTCCGACCCAAAGAGAGCTATGCCGTCCGCATATCATGGTATGTCAGCTTGTCACCTGGCAAAACTTTCACACCAGAAGAGTCTGAAAGAACGAAGTCGATTATGATATCGAGGTCATTTAAGATTGAGACATGACCCAAATTCATAGTGCAAGCTGCAGTCGGTAATAGAACGAGGTGATGTCAGCTAAACTATCTCGCTGCAGGGTCCGCAGTCGGTCTACATAAAGCAATTTCATTTTCAAAGCGAAACGAAACACACGAAAGCCGGCAAGAACAACAAAAAGCATGGGCAAGCGCAGAGAGAGTTATCTCGGGTCACGGATCCCAATGGCTATGTGGTCAGGGCGTCAGTCGTTAACCCTTTGGTCCCAGCTTCGGTCATCTCCAGAACAAGACGAAACCGGTCGTGACGTGCAGTGAGCTACAGCGAAACCCATCTACTCCGAGTCATGTCTATGGCGTGTTTACAGGCTGGTTCATTACGAAGGGCTGAAACCTGCGGTGCAGTATACGTTGTTACACGTTGTCGTATGACATTTAGCTAATCCAACCGGTGTACCAACTTACATTTGAAACACAATGGTTGAGAACAATGTGAATAGTTTGCGGTACAACTGCGACCTAAAAGGCCCAATTTGATTACATGGGAATCCATGACATCGCGCAACACGTGCCTGTGGTACTAACCAAAGGCGGGAAATGATAGATAAGATATTCGCAGTCTGAACATCGGACTCGCAACTCTTTACATAAAAGGACATGATAAGCAAACAGGAGAATTGACATTTTCACTCAGACAAACGTCTGAATGGTGACACTACTAAAATGTAGCAGTCCTATGAAGGATAATCGGCGTGTAATAGCATAAATAACAGTACCTGTATCCAAGAACTTCACGATCGTCGCATCATTTGAACCATTCAAGGAAATATCGGAGAGATGGCCGTCGTGGTACAACTGCATAAAAATTCTCAGGCGGTGCTCGCACAGCCTCCGCTGTAAACTCGGGTCTGGTTTGACATCTGGGTGATATTTCTCGCGAAACCTATTGAAGGTAAACTTTCAGCGTCTAATAACAAACGAATTAGTGACAAAGGCAAAAGCAGCGATAACTGATAGGATGACGTGTGAGAACAATAAACCAGGTCGACAAAACCCGATTTGTAGCAGGGGGAGCTCGAAATATCAAAACGTACTTGCAAGATGTTTGATAGGGTACATGGTGGCAGGACTCATTTCGAGTATGTAATTGACACAAATCGAGCTGTGTTGACGGGGAGGATACCACAAAGTGAATGGAGACATGCAACACAGCAAAGCTCCGTCAAAGTTTTAATCTACCTTTCTCCATTGGGAAAAAATAGAGCAAAAAAACGCCAAAGAGAAAATAAGAAGTAGCCATCTTAATAACTGAAAGAAACCAAGAACAACGCTTTGGTAACACTGTAATGAACTAACTGATGTTCATAGGGAGACAATTTCTTGTCATTCTCAAACACAGAAACGAAAAATGATATCGCGAGCTTATAAAATCTACGTAAAGTCGCCTTCAGCCATTTGTAATTACTTTGGCAGATTCACCAAGTATGCAAAAAATGCTACTTCGATGTGGCTGAACAAAATTCCTCGGAAGAATTAAAAATTCGCATATGCGGTCTGGTACACCCCCAATAGTTTTGATTTCAAGTGTGTACCACAGATGAAATAGAGTTAACCCATAAGGTGATAAAAAGCACTATAGTTGAAAAGTGTGCGGAAACCGGCGTTATGCTTCAGTATTCTGTAGATAAGATATAATTTCGCAACGTCTGAGGTTGCCTAAGATGAGGTGAGCAATTAGTGTCTGGCGGATCGTCAATTCCACAATGCTTTAGTCTATTGCACAAGAGAACCGATAAGCTTGTAGAAAGAAAAGTTTTTTGACTAAGTCGTTCCAATACGAGGTTTCATCTACGCTATTGACCAGCACAATAGGACTAAAATGGGCGCGGAGGCAGATGTCTGACCATTCGGTCAGCAGCATACAAGCTCTCGCAGCTCTGATGATGAAACCCTAGGGTGGTTGAGTGGTGAGGTAGATATTTTCATGCAGCATCGATAGACCGAAAGCAGAACAAAGTAACTGATAAGAATTCGCCGACGATACTGTTAAGCAGAACAGTAAACAAAAGTTCAACAAATGAAGAGGTGAAACGTACCAGGCGTGATTTTTGTTTTTCTCAAAGAAATCCTCCAACTGCTGTTTAGCGAAGCTGAGTTTGTAAGCAGCATACTTTTCACCGGCTTCATAGTCCGTTAAAATAGTGTGATCGAATGGTTCCAAAAATTTACGTAATGACATAGGCCGTTGTGCAAAATCAGCCTTCCCAAGCGTTTGGCCGAAATGCGTGGGTGCCTGATTCGCTTGATCCATCTCACTCGGCATGATGTAAAGAGAAAATTAGGTCGGTGTAGGCTAAAACGAAGGTACCAGATGATAGAAATAGGTACGAATGCATTAGAGAGTGTGGAAAAGCATTGACTAGCGTCTTAAGCCGGCAGGTGCTCCGCCAGTGCTAGAGGGCTCGGACGGACAGCCCCTAACATCCAGCACTGAGCATGCGCCCGCGTTAGCGGCCCACTTCGCTCCCGTGCTAGCAAATGACCAGGTGTCGGAACCGAATACGACGTGTACTGCGCTTACCGCACTGGACACTGCGGTTTCCGGCGTTGAAGAGGTGCATCAACTACTCGCCAACCTTGACGGCACCAACCCTGTTGGCTCTGACGAACTCCACCTGCTGAATCCCATGTCCCTATCGGCCATTATCACATCTGCTGTGGCTGACTTATTCAACAGGTCACCATCCGAAGGTTCATTGCCGACCGAATGGTAATGCTCAGTGGTTAAGCCGATTTTGAAAGGCTGTGATCCCAACAAAACGGATAAAAACAGACCAATTTGTCTGGCATATGTTTTGGCCAAGGTTACAGAGAAGATCGTGGAGAAGGGTCTACTACAGCCGTTCCCATCAAAAGACCTACTGACGTCCACACAGCACGACTTTATGCTAGACCGCTCATGCATCATCAGGCTGTTTGTGACGAGGCATAAATGGTTGCAGGTAGTGAACCAAGGGAAAGTCCGTCAACGTAATCTTTATTGATCTCGGTAAAGCGTTCGACAAGATGGACCATGGGGTCCTCCTCCACAAGCTGAGAGTGTGCGGTGTTGGTGGATGACTGCTCCAGTGGATCCGAGAATTTCTCGTTGGAGGAAAGTAGAGGGTACAGGTCGACAGCCATCTAACCGACTAGTATACGTCTACTAATGGCGTACACGAAGGAACGATGCTGGGGCTCACTATGTTTCTAATCCACATCAACGACCTACCTCAGCTTCTTCGATCGCCGTGTACCCTGTTTGCGGACGACCTGAAGAGTTGGAGAGTGATTAACACGCCAAACGGCTGCGGCCTACTTCAGCAAGACCTCAAGCGTCTCACTATGTGGTCTGCGGAAGTCCGCCACCACGTCAACCCACTCAAGTTGGTATTCAAGCGCTTGGGGAAAGATGGCTACGGCTGAATTCACACCACTGAAAAAACCGCTACATCCTACATCTTCCGTGAAGGACCTAAGTGTACACTAGCGCTCCCATTGAAAGTCCGTTGATAACACGAACAGAATATCGTAACGGACTGCGGTTGCTTTGGGTGATCAAATGCAAATTTTGCACCTGACCTGAGAAGTCGCCACTTTTTCTCCCATCATAACACCAATACTGGAGTACGGCTCACCTGCCTACTGTCAATTACCCGAGGCGGTGCAGAGAAAATCGAACGAGTCCAACACATCGCTGCCAGGCTCATTTCAAGTTTAACGACAAGTATCGTAAGACCGTTTGGTCGCGTTTGGCCACCGGTGCCTGCGAAGTATTTCTTACCTCTGGGGAACACCGGATGAACAATGCTGAGTTCCGCCAGTTGATGGTTTTCTGCAAGAAACCTTCTAGTGACTCACTCGAGTGCTTGCTGAGTGTATACCGTTTATGGTGGCTCGGGCAGAGCGGGAGCTTACGGTAAGCTGTCGCCACCTTTCGATATCTCCAGCGGTGTAAGACAAGAATGCCCGCTGTAACCTTTCCACTTCAACTTCGCTAATGACGACATCAAGGAAATCGCGTTCACAAGACAAGACAAGTCGTTCCCACGTGAACGACTACTTGAGTTGGATTATGCTGAGGACATTATTCTCATCTGTGACAGCTCACAAAC